TTAATTCTACTGAAATGATATCCTTTTATTTCACACTTTAAAGTCTGTTAACAGCTCTTAAGAAGTACTATGTGAAAAACAGTCGAATGAAGCTTTTTTGTGGGTGATAATGCCAGCTGGGTCTGAAAACTACAAGTCTGAAAATGAAAAAAAAATTTTTTTGCAGGTGTGGAGTTGGAAAGAAGCGAGCTTAGCAGATCTCCATAGCCTTCTCATCTCTGCCGCAGGCTAGAGGCTCCTGGCTACAGCCTAACACCCAAATCTCAAAACAAACTGTCAGTGGTGGAGGTACATTACAGGTACATAGTGCATGCACTAGGTTTCAACAAGGGAGAGGAATAATAAAGACAAAACAATAGACTCTGCTGCAGTATTTTTGATATTTTGTTCTAAACTGTCCATCATGAGTCCAACAACATTACAGAAGTTCAATGCTAAATCAGTCCCCTTTTATTTTGGTCTGAGATGTTGCTGTTAAATGCTGGTGTGTTCATGCCCTTGGTCATAGTTGCTAAGTGTGTTTATAGGTTTTTAAGGTAGGTAATCACAGTTAATTGAGTCCTTTAGAGACCATTAAAGTATAAACATTGACTCTATGGATAACATCTAATGTTGAGTGTTGAGTTGAGTAATAAAGCTCTATTAGAAATACTATATTTTTGTTGCAGTAAATGAAATGGCTCTCACTGACAATTGACACCACAGTCTGCTTTTAGCTCAGTGTTTTAGTTTGATCTCTGCTGCTTGACGACCAACAGCCCTAACTGACTGCTCCTATAACATGATGAACACATGCTACTGGCCCCAAAGCTCACACAGGCCTTCAGAATAGCACCACACTCCTGCTCTCTCACATCACTGCAAAAACACGACTATAAACATCAAATCACCTAAACGTCACCGATCCAGAAATAGACTCAGACATCACACATTCTGCATTTCGTCCCAGCGAAAAATGACATTTTCAGTTCAAATCTAGTTAAGAGCTTAGCTGCAGATCACACAAACATGATGGAGCCCCAGTGAGGTCAGAAGAAGTCAGCTGATCAGATAACGGCCTTCGTCACAGTTGTTCATCTAGACACATTTAGCTGAAATGCAGACGGATCAGCCGTTAGTACCGCTGTCACTGCATTAATAACATGATCCTGTGTTAAATAAGAGATTTGTAAACCAAAAATACACTGAACATAATTCTCAGTGTTTAACCACACTGGATGTGCCGATTCATACATAGATAAGTTTTTGTCCCTGATTCATCTTTTTTTTTCTGTCACACTCACACAAGCTTTATTCCCCTGCTTTTTAGTCACGAGCCCCGGAGGCGGTGTGATGTCAGCAGGTTCAGCAGGGCATCAGCTGGACCTCACAGCAATCAGCTCACTGCCAGGAGTTTCACAAGGTCTCCCAGAGTCACTTTGATACTTCTTCCAGTGAGACCTGAGCCTAAGAGCTTCTGAAGATACTACAGAGAAGCCATTGCTATATGCTGAAACTGAGCAAGTGTGTGGGTTTGCCTCTTTCATCAAAGAATATGTCGGTTCTGCCGCAGCAACTACAGTTGTTCTTATTATAGAATAATCTGCTGATTATATTTACAGTTGATCGGTTCATCTTATAACAAATACAACGCAGAAAATAGTGAAAAATGTCCATCACAAGTAAAAAAAAATATATCCAATTGACAAAGTTCTTGGATAGACATAAATGGTGACAGCTAAAAGTAACAGAAACCTGGTTTAGACATCCAGCATCTGCCTCTTCAAGCAGTGGTAGAACAAATGCAAACTCAGCCAAACCAGTCTAAATGCGCAAAGTTTAACTATATTAACAATATCTACTTATATGAATAACAGTGTTAAATACCATCCAATTTAAAAATCAATTCAAATGAACATGTGGGACATGATGGGTGGTGTTAATCAAGGGGTTCTGAGTTCATCTGATGCAGCTGAGGGAGTATGTGAGATAAAAAGTTTGGGAACCCCTGGAGAAATCAACGAATTAACCAATCGCATCAGCCCAAGTTTGTTGAGCTACTGCTGCAAATTAATTTTTAATTTCCTGTTCAAAGTGTGACAGGACATACTAAGTAGAACTTAAAAAGTTCTTGAGACTGTCCTCACCACAAACAGAATCTTAGTTACCCCTAACTTTACATTTTCTACACAATGGCATCTCGCAGTCACGCAGATAGTGACTCTTATTACCAGAAAAAATGTTCAGTCACTGAGATGACATGGATTTATGCTTAAAAAACAAAGACAGGAGCATGATGTCGCTCCACAAAACCTTTTAGAGAGGAGGTTATAATGGATAAGAGTAAAGGAGGCTGGGGTTCTACTACTGCTACATACTAATAGTCTTAGTATTGATAGATCTTCTCCTAACCTTGACAAAGCAGCTTAAGTTGCCTTAAGTGGTCTGCATCTGTGGTTAAGATCTGGTTAACCTTCACCCTGGAGATAGAAGATAAAAAAAAACCTTATGTGACTCGTTTTTTGAAAGCATTGACTTACATCCAATTTTGTCCTTTAGGTCTGAGAGCATTCTAAAGACAACAAAAAGGAAGGCACGCACACTCATAGGTGGAAACACAGACAACCACTGAATGCACCTTTTTGTTCAATCATCCGGAAACCAAATTGGAAGTCATTCTCAACCATGCTTCCTCTCACACTATTGCCTGGCATCAGACAAAATTGTCATATCGTTACACTCCGTTTCCATCTTCAGTCTGGAATTGCTTCCACTCTAAATGCTTCCCGTGGGGGAGGGGGGATTCAATTTTCCCTCACCAATCACTAAATTCAACGTATCCATCGGAATCTAACATCATTTCAAGTCCACACTGATGTGTAGCCATGCCAACGTACTGGTTTTTCCAGAGTTTGCAGAATGGAGTGTAGGAAAATAAAACAAACTTCAGTGTCAGGCAATATTGAGGAAGCACGACAATTTCCAAAAGCCGCAATATTGGCATCTAACTTGTCCATAGGGCTGGCCATTGTTGTTTTTTACTCTCCATTGGTTCCAGTGACAGCATGACAACGCTTGACAATGACGTTATCATGCCCGTGGTGCTGAATGGCTTAACATTATTCTCCCCACAGCACTTGTTGGATCGATTGCTTTTTAACCAGAAAAGTGCTGTTTCATGTCACAACGCCGGACAAATAAGTCAACTTAGTAGAAGTGAAGGATTCAAACGCTGTGTTTCCATTAGGAATGTGGATATGTCATCATGCTGGTGGTGTGGTCCATGGTTTCATCAAGTCCTCCAAATCAATTGACAAAATATGTTGTTTGTCCAGGTGTTTTCTGAAGTGAAGCCTCTATTAGTGTCCCAACACGGAAGTCAAATCTCTACTTTGAGCAACAGCCCTAGAGCAAACTGCTGGATGACACATTTTGAGTCATTCGGCAGGGGATCTGGGGGCTGGTAAGATGGAGGCAAATTTACCATAGTTCATTTACACATACTACCCATATAATTATGATACAAAGCTGGTTTAAAATTGGCAAAGTATCCCTTAAAGGTTAGCTAATGATCATGGACATGCTTAAAAATTGTGACGCAGGAAACGAACAACAGTCTTACGTGTTTAACTCTGATGTTTTGTTATCACCTGACTTCCTCCTTTTCTCTCGTCATAATCACTGCAGCCACTAGAGGGCTTTGTCACTTGAACGTAAACATATGTCTTTTTAGAGAAACAACTGGATGCTGTTGTTCATCTTGGGAAGACAGTCTCTATTGTCTATGTGCTGCTAGAATAAGCCTCAGTTCTCCATGTACATCGAAAGATGTTTTAACACAAGATGTGCCATCTGGCGTGGTTATCATGATGTCTGCGAGGGTACTGGGATCATCGGAAACACCCTCTCAATCATAACAGCTCTTTATGAAAATGCATTGTCTACAATGCTGTGAAAATGCCTTGGCATCGAGACGCAAAAACAACAAATGCTCGGTCAAGCTGTTCTAAACAGGCTGCTTTTCAGAGACTATTTCACTTTGCCAGATGACGAGGGACGACCCTGCTCCTGTCCCTCCTTCAGGACCATACACTCCCATTCTGAGCTACTCCTTTTACAATATGGTGGAGGATATTATTTCTGTCTCAGTCACCAAGCGGCGAAAAATTTGAACAGAGGATTGATGCCAGGAGCAGAAGGCTGGATGAGTATTTAGCACTGCAGCCTTGTGCACTACAGCATTTTTCACATGTACTGACAAAACACAGGGAAATAAACACACACTGGTGGAGGGTATACGTACATGTGTCTATACACACAGCTGAGAGTGAAAACATCTTGGTCAGTACATGATCGAGCGTCTTGGCTCGACTCCTCACCGCCTCAAGAATGAACGCCGCTCACACGCAGCTAATCCACTGCCCTGACAGTAATGGGAGGCAACACTAAGCATGTTTGGCTGGCATCCAACATGCTTTCCACATGCACACACACACACACACACTCCCCAGACTCACACCCTCACACTGATGCAACCATAATACAACCCATCGTATAATCTCAGAGGGTGTGGTCCTATAGAAACTTATATCACCTCCAATATGGAGGGAAACTACTGATGTTGACAGCTGACACACTCCTGCACACTGCCACTCAAATGGTACACCCCCCTTCCCAATCCCCACACCCCCACCCCCTCACTGCTACACAGCAAAGCACAGGCAGATGTTTATTCCCCTCTGTTTCCCCTCCTCTCTCTCTCTCTCTGTTCTTACTTCCTCATGTCTGTAGAGCATAATGCCGGCCCTCCATCCCTCCCCTCCCTCCCTCTTTCTCTCTCCTCCATCTCTCTGCATCACTCCGCAGTGCTACGGCGCTCTGCTCTCTCCACATACAGCATGCTGTCAGCTGGCAGACGGAGGAAGAAAAAGGGAAACACACACAGGGGATGGCAGAGCATCCGAAACCTCGTGTTCACACTGGAAACAAAGGCGTTAAACGGGCTAATGTGGCCTTCTTACCTTCTCTTCTCTCTGTATCTCCTCCACTCTCTCCCTCTCTCTCTCTCTCTCTCTCAGTGTTTGTGTCCCTCCTGACTGCAGCCACACTGTTTCTCTCGCTCTGAGTCCTCCTCCTCCTCCTCCTTCCTTCTTCCTCCTCCTCCTCTGTTCTGCTGCTCTCACAAACCTGCTGCTGCTGCTGCTGCTGACTGTCCGCCTCTCTTCCTCTGCCTCTCGCAGCCCCTCCCCTAACCACCCTCCTCCCTTCACATCTCTGATGCTCTCTGTGGCCACAGCATCAGTGGATGAAGAATGTTATGAAAGGGGTGAGACTTTGTAGTTTGCTGCCTGTGAGATGCTGTAGCTCCAGTTTGTGCATGTCATGTGTTATCATCAAGTTCATAAACATCAACAGGGTCATTTAACATAAATTACAGCAGGGTTTTTTTTTTAGGTATTTCCACAATCCAGTCTCTATATCCTGCACTAGAAGAGTTGTTTTTACTAATTACCTCCGCCAAGGAGTTTATGTTTTTGCCTGCGTTGGTCTGTTTGTCTGTTTGTTTGTCTGTCTGCAAACTAACTCAAAAAGTTATGAACGGATTTTGCTGAAATTTTCAGGAAAGGTGGATAATGGGACAAGAATGATAAAATTTTGGTGGTGATCGATTGAAGCAAAGTGGATAAAATAATAAAATAGCGCTAAATAGCACTGTGTATTTACCGAGTTTTAGAATAGACTCATTCCATGGCCAGATGTGCGCCACCGGTTGGCAGTGGCGAGTAGGCCTACTTGTTCTAAAGTTGAAATTATTGTTCTGTGTTGGAAAAAAAGAAAGTGAAAAATACAAAAAAAAAAACATATTATATTCTGTGTTGGTACAAAATAAAAACGAAATCAATACACCACAGTGTCTCCATGGTGAAGGCATATATAACCTAATAATGACAGTGATGCAAATAACCTGATTGTGATGCAGGCTGCAAAATCTGATGCAGAGGGGGAGGGAATATCACCTACTTGGCGGAGGTCTGCACTCTCTGAGTGCTTTTCTAGTTTCCAAAGTTTTCCAAAAATATACAGTCTCTACATCTGACACATCTGCTTCCTAAATAAGTACAACACGAGAAAAATGTAAACATGTTATTATGAATTTAAATATATTCATTAGGGACACCCAACAGCAAATTACATCCTCAAAAATTATCATTAAGTTGCTCTAAAAACAGTTTCTAAAACAGTTTAAACCAAAAACTGAACATTTTTAAAGCCTTCATTAGGGAAGAATTTTTGCTGCAGGACTATTGTATGAGACTGTATTACTTAAAGTGTACCTAATAAACTGGAAACTTAATATATACAACAGTGAAAAATAACATTAAAGTTGCACTGATCGGTATCTTTATATTAACAATGGATCAAATGACTGCGTGTAATATGCAGGGATCACTTGTAGAGATATATAACCTGATTCTACAGTTCTCTACAGGGCATTTTGTCATCTTTTATGAAACTGTTTTGGTTTTCCAGCTTGCAGCTTTACTATTTTGGTTCATTCTCACCACTCTAACATGAACTTCATTTTTCAGACAGCTATTTTTGATGACAAATCTCTGATAAACCTACTGTACACTACCTCCCCAGCACCAAAGAACAGACAGACACAGTTAGCAACTAGTTAGCAAGTGAAAGCTAGCAAGCATCATTAGCACTTAGCTGCTTAAGAGACAGATACTGCTGCTCAAGACATGGTGGAGACCAAAACAGAGCTACAAAGAGAGTGAGTATTGGACTAACATTTGTCAGGTGGCTGAAAACATGACTTAACATGAATGCTAACATAACTCTGTGTCAGTCCGAAAAACTGTTTGCCAACATCTTTGTTAAATCAGCTTTATTGATAACAGATTGATACTGTGCTTAAAGCTTGTTCTGCTGCCCCCATGTGGCCATAAAGCTATTAACACTGCTTTAATTTACAAAAACAACATTAAAACATGTTATTGCAAATAGAACAGGCAATATGCCCCTTCTGATTATGGTATTTGTTTGCATGAGTCAACAGTTTCAACTTGAAAAATGAGTTAAAAATCTGAATTGTCTAGTGTGTTATCTTTTTAGTACAAATGACTAAATGCCGTTATAACCTTGCTGTTTTTTCAAAGAACTCTTTAAGAAAAACGAATTGTTTTGTAACTCAATTGTAAAGATAACAGAGACACAAAGTGGGTCTAAAAGATGCTGCAGATATGGTCAACGCTGTTGGAGCGAAAACTGTTCCTTCTCCTTCTGGCTTGACTCCACTCCAACATGTTGTGGTGGCTAATTGGATCTGATAGGCTGCTTCTGATAGAGAGTTCCCCTCCCCCTCCTCTCTGAGCCTGGCAGGACTGAAGCTGAGGTTGTAACAGCCCACCTCCAGCTACAGAGCGGCTGCTCGCTCTTTGTCTGCTCATGCAGCAGACACACAGCTGATGGGCTAACCCCCCACGGCACGCACACACACACACACACACACACACACACACCCCTCCACTTCATTCACATGGTAATTGTGGGTGTTTCCAGTCTGTCTTTATGCCGGGGTGTCCCTTTCGTCTGCATGTCCGAACTACAGAGGACCTCATGGTACAAAGAAGTGAGCTGCACACACAAACATGCTCTGAACATGTAGTTTTCATTCAGTTAGAGTGGATTCAATGATGATCCATGTGTTCTACACGTTGATGTGTGTGCACATCCTGTAGTGAAATCAAAACATATAATAGGGTCAAGTCAGTGTCCAAAACTGATCAAGGGAGGGCTTTGTGAGCAATGTAGAAAAAGTTATTTCTTATATAATTACTGTCCTTGACAAATCTTACAGATGTTAGAGCGGACATTTAGTAAAAAAAATATCTAAAGGCCTCTTTATAGGGGGCATGCAACATGAAATGATGCGTTATGATATGTATCATTTAAAGAAAAAAAATCATGTTCTATTATTGCGAAAAAATAGACTAATCTCAGTTTAGTGAATCTACTATATGCAAAATATATTTTTTTGCTGACATAAATACATTCATAAATGGTAAAGCAAATGTGTACAATTACCTTTTTTTTAAAACTAATTTTTGTTTAAACCAGTAGTTTATTTTCTTATTGACGACTAAAAATCAGATTTCAGATCAGATTTGTCTTGCTTATTATTTCACTTATTATTAATTCACAATTTTTCAATTTTTCAGGTGACATCTGGACAGTTGAGAGATCTCATTTTCACATTTATTCACATGCTTATTATTATATTCTGTCCCTGGGGAACAAAAAACCATTTCAATGAAAGAAAAACCCCTTAGAGTCCTGACCTGCTGCAGCCATGGATGTGTAGTGACAGTGGTGCTCTCTGTATGTCAGCTGGACATATCTACACCCCAAACATCGCCACTAATTACAGCAGAGGTCGTTATGGGTCTTTGGCCAAATTGATTCAGAGGCATCTGCTAACCTCCTCCTCTGGGGAGCAGGAAAGGCCGAGCTGATGGCCTGACGGTGAGGGGTGGAGCGGGAGGTCCAAGCTGTCTCCCGACCCCACAAATAGGTCATAAACTGGGTCTGTGTGTGTGTTCAGTCAGCTCCAGCAGGGCGGAGCTGACATGAGATAAATGGCCACATGAATCTGGCAGCCTTTATTCTGCAGATGTGTTGCACCACAAAATGATGCTGGTGTAAAAGAATGATAAAGTTTTTACTTACTATTAAATGTGCAGCAGAAGCGAGACATGTCCAGTAGTGAGGTAAGTCTGCCTTATTTGTTTCACATCGGTTCTTCTGACATCTCTTGACATTCACCCTGTAAGCACAACGACAAAAACGAAATGACCAAAGTGTAATTTCAAACAAAATTCTCCACCCCAATCTTAATTGTGGTCATGTATCACAGAGTCTGGACATTCATATATGTAAAAAAGGACAGGGTTGAACTGACATACTGGGGAACTGCAACAGACCGTCTCTCTGCAATGCTGAACTGAATACACTCCTCTCTGTGACACAGCTTCATGCTCTATTTAACAAAGTATGATGCATTCTATTTTCTATGGAAAGTGCAATAGGCAAAATGTGCCCAAACTTTTTGTCATAGCCGGCAAAAAGCCAAAAGCAAACCCAGCTGGTGAGCCAAAAACACTGGCACAAGTAGACATTACTGTTTATAGGATATGATTAAAAAAATAATAGCCTTTTAGAGGATACACTGTAAAATCTCTGAATTTTTTTTTTTTTTTGCCTGGGATGGCAATTTATCTTCCTCGTGATAAGCCATTTAATCACAGTGACCGCTAATCAGTGCATCAGCAGAAATTCTCTACAAGCAAGACAGTTAAAGTTTCTACCTGCTCTCTCATGATGTGTATAAGAAGTGTCTGAGAAGAAATGTCAGCTCAAGATTATTAATTAAATGAATTAAAGGAACTATGTGTCCATAGTATTTGGCGATGATCCATTTTTTATATATTAACTATGATGTTAAATTGAAGGTGTAAATATGCCTTTGTTATACCAATGAAAGCACATTGCATTATGTAACGCACAAGATTGACTGCAGGGACAGAAAGCTAACAACAGCCAGTAAGATCCTGCTCATACTTCTTTTCCACACACACACAGAATTATATTATATTTAAATTAATTATATTATTCTTTTTTTAAAACTCCTAAATCGTGCATGACTCAGATCTGCACAGCATTTCCTCTTCAGGGGTCAGTTGGACCTGCAGGTGAGGCAGGTTTAACAGCAAGAGGAGAAGGTATCCCCTCTTTGTATGATATTAACTGCAATCATATTTACTGTTCTCCCTTTCATCAGATCACTGCCGTTTGTCTGGAAGTAGGAGGCTTAATGTCCTCTCAGACTAATGTTCGCCTGGCGCCAGGACTTTCTCATCATTCTCTCAGCCTCTAGGAGTCATCAATATGATTGTCTGTCTGGCCTTCACTGCATTATCTGCTGGCACTCAGACTCCTCCAAGGCCTCCGACTGCTCGCTCCTCTCCATCGTCTGAGATCGTGAGGTGGAGATGGGAGGATAACAAATCAGGTTGTAGCCAATCAGATTACAGAGCTAAGTAGAGTGAAGTAGGTTTCAAAAAAAGCTTGAGACTGTGTTACTGGAAGAGTTTAGCTCCTTTCTTACTTAATTT